GTTGGTGACGCAACTAACGAGGCTGATGAAGAAGCAGCGGGGGTGTAACGAGTGGGACACGCAAGTGGGTAGTGGAGCGGGATTGGAAGATGCGCTGTTTCTCTGGATCAGAGTAATGGGTTCGCTATGGGGACGCGTAGCTCTTCTAGCGATGACGAAACCCTGCGTGATGGATAGGATACCTTCCACGCCGCAGAGTATCGGTATGACCACAATCAGAAAGATGAGTACTGCTGCCGCTGCTGCCTGCACAGTTGGTTCTCCTTGCACCATTCTTCAGATCTTGAGACTCCCTGCAGGTGGTCTATGGTCAAATAAACGGGCCCCTTTGCTCATCCTGCTGCCGACCATTGCCAGTTGGAATTGAAGTTGGAGGTGTGGGTAATGGACATGCCCCTCGCCTTCATTGTGAGGAAGTATAGCCGTGGCCAGCGTCGCATCTGAGGACACTAGCCATCTCGTCTGAGATCTGAAGCTCGGGCTTCACCCAGTGTCGGCACAGCCACCTGTCGACGTCAAGTCTTCCCGACTCCTGGAACTTTCCTCCCATAAACTTTCTCTTCAAATACTAAGGCTCCCCTCACCGCTCATTATTGCATTAGAATGATGCCTGAAATGGAATGCAGCAGTCTAAGAAGATAACATAGCATATGATTCGGAAGTTTCAATGGCGCCGGGAGGATGAGTCAATTGTGGAAGTGGAAGGAAAGGGATTTGCTACAGTGTGATGGACTAGGACGAGTGGGAGGCAGGTTACTTGTGAGGCTGGAGGAGGAAAGTCAAGTGACTAGTTGGTCCATCACTTGGGAATGCTGTTGGTGTTGTTGGGTGTTGTTCTACATCCGCGGAACGAAATCTGCATTGCTCACTGCAGATCGGTTCATGCCCCTACAGTCTTACTTTTTTGGAGGATCCTTCAGCACAACTACTGTCGCATTAAGACGGCTCGTTATCCCGCTTGAAAGTACCAAATTCACTAGAATTTGATGAAAGTCAGTCAAGCTTCTGGTGCTGTGTCAACTCCAGGATTCGTTTCAGAGTAAATTGAGATGATAATGGCTTCAGTCAATGCTATAAGCATCCTGTCACCACTGTTGCCCACCACGTAGACCATGAAGTTGGGTGTTTCAACTGTAAGTATGCATGGACTTATAGCCCATTATGTTTATGCCTTTCACTGACTCGCTCTCCAGCTTTACAGATAGTCACTTACTCTCGCATCTACTACATCTCTGGATTAAGGTTTCCCTCCTCATTCCCGAGGCGCCATCAAGATAGAGTATGATTAAGCTTCACCTACAACACCGACATGCCCAGTGCACCAGACCATCTCGTCCACGCTGCTGCAGGTGTTGATCATGCTCATGCTCAGGGATGCGCTCCTGCTGTGCCTAGAACAGCAGCGAATGCTGGTCGCGCAGAACCCGCGCAAGACGAGTGTCATCAACTCGACTACGATATCTATGGGTTACCTGAGAAGAGGTGCGGATGGAGAAAAGAGAGTCAGATGGTGGTAGTAACGTTTGTGAGGCTCCTTCTGATCCTGCTCTTGTCTCTTCCTCTAACTTTACCCTTTTTCCCAGCTTCACAATTTTGTCAATGCAAGGAGCAGACGGATTGTCGCAAATGAATTCCTAACTGGCCAGAAGTATACCATGAGGGTGTCGGCGACTTAAGAAGCTACACTGCTGTTGCTAGCTTATTGGGGTTCTGCATATACAGCGGCGCCCTTCTGATTGGACGAGTACATGATCTTCACTTTGGGTAAATCAGCAGGGGTGTTGGCATATGGGGCTATCGTCTCATGTAAGGAAAGACTTTAGCGATTTCCACCCTCGCCCTCTGTGTATGCGAAATACTGGATACCATACCTGTTCTGTGCATGTTCAGGGCCGAACAAGGTAGGGGGCAAGTATAGGTCAGCCATAAGGGCCGCGGTGGCTCAGGTGGCACCATCGCGGAATAACCCTAGGTTAGTCAGTAGGACACAAGTTCGAACCCTGCCGGTTACATGGTTAAAACACTTTAGACACCATGTGACATTTCACATGCCCCCAGGTGACACCGTGGTAAAATAGCTTGTGTTTGGGAAGGCTTTAAGAATGCTGTCGGTATACTTAGGTGCGGTCGGACCAAATAGAGCCACAGCAGCTGATAATGACGTACCCACGCTTGCTGACCTTGTTGATGAAATTATGGTGATGTTACTCTCCTTGCCAGTGAAAAGCTGGTATTGCCGAGAAGCACGTGGGGAGCTGGAAGGATAGGGACGGGGTCAAATGACCTGGTAATTGCCGAGGCTGGTAAACCAGTCCCCTGTCTGCAAGACCAACTGGACCACAAGGTGGAAGTTTGACATTCTGACATCAAAGACGGCTAAAGCCGACCCGAAAGGACAAGTCTGCGAGGACTAAACTGCTCAGGATTCAACGGCAACCGGCTGCCGAGGATCACGCTGCCGACAACGATTACCTGCATGACGGGGTGTTGCGTAGAATGATGTAGGATGCTATATATAGCTTAACTCCGGGAGTAGCAAGGGTGACCATTCCTAACCCTAGCGATAGCGATATCGGATCGCAAGCCATGATTAGATAACAACCACGGGATGTAACGACAAAAGTAGATAAAAACGGACACTTAGAGTATTAACTGAGTCATACCGTGTCACACTACATAGGCGATAAACAATGTCATGTAAAACAAGCCTATGATATAAATAAAACACAATTCCAATTCCATGCATGAAACCCATTTCGTAATGCTCGACAGGCAGGGAACAGTCCGAAAACTGAATGGGAGTGTCTTCTGTTCGGGTCCGTTCCCTCGTCTGTATTTATATCCTCAACCGATCTGGAACTGTGTGCATTCATTCAATTTTCCCGCACGGAATATCGACTGATTCGATTGATTCGAAGCCTATATCTGTGAGGCCAATCGCACTCCGTGTTCAGCTCGAACAACTGGATAAAGCTGATGTCTTGGGCTAGTTGGCGAGCGTTAAGGGGAGAATATGATTGGTATTTGGATGTAAATTGTTTTGTAAATGTAATTGACATTTTTCTTGAACACGGGGCGACCATTCAGATTCAAAATTGCGTTTACTATCTTTTGGAGATTCCCTTTTGGTGGACTGATCGCCGGAGAATATACTCCAGGTATGATATTCAAACTCCTGAAGTGTCCTTAGGGCTTTCCCTGATGCTCGACGGGGGGGGTCACTCCAAAAACTGACTGTGAGCATCTTCTGCTCAAATTGATGTTGGTTCCCAAATTACGTCTCATCCCTATCTGATGCGACTATGATTCTATCATCATCTTTGGGCCCGTTTCCTCGTCTATATTGGTATCCCTTGACCGACCTGAGGGATTACCCCATGGTGCGATACCATATTTACCTTCAACTATGGCATTCAGCCAACCAGAAGCATCAAATGTAGCATTCTGGAAGCCAGAAGGCGGGCTGATGCTGTACTTCCAAGTACCATCGGTAACAAATGACGTGACGGAGCCGCAATCACAGTCTTCCATCTCCAACTCGACAGCGGCGATGAACCCAGCGGGTCCACCAGTGTTGGCCGTGAATGCGACGATGGAAATCTGTGACGCCGATGGCTCGAGGTCTGCCACGTAACGTTGGGTGGAAGTAAAGTCATCTCCGGATCCAACGATGTTACCCTGGAGGTAGAGAGTGTAGCCATTATCTGCGTCAACGAGGAAGGTGGCGGAAGTGGCGCATTGGCCTGTAGGAAGTGTGATATCTTTGCGGAAGGCTCTTGTGCCAACGGGTGCATTTCCACTGCTCACTTCATTGGTCCAAATCCAATTAGCATCAGAGAGCGTCAACAGAGTGGAAGACGCAGATGAAGGGATGGTGACTGCATTCCATGGCGAAACACCATAGTTGCCTTCAATAGTGGCAGGAGGCCAAGCACTGTCGTCAAAGTCATTATTCTGGAAGCCGTTCGGAACAGAGGAGAATGAGTGCCAATTTGCATCAGTGACAATGGTATCGGTGAATCCGTCCGTGTATTTGATTTGAATGGTGGCCAATAATCCAGGGGGATTTCGAACAGGGAGGTCGTTGGTGGCATTGACAGCGAAGACGTTGCAATCTGGAGCGAGACGGATACAGTAGGCCTCCGTGGCTTTGAAATTGTGGCCCATGCCGATTTGTTGACCATTGACGTAGAGAGTGTAGCCGTTGTCCGAAGTTATGATAATGTTGGCAGAAAGGGCAGTTTTGCCTTGCGGAGAATAGAAGTCATGGCGGAAGGCACGGGAACCAGCAGGGGCGTTCCCGGCTGAATCGATCTCATTGGTCCAGATCCATTTTGAAGCTGAGAAGTCTAGTGCAAGGACCTGGATTGCGCATATAGCGATAGAAAACAGTGCTAATGGATGCTTTTAAAAGTATGTTTTGAATGAAGGAGGGTGATCAGGTACCTTTGAAGAGCATTTTTTGAGTTTACTTGTTGTTGGATGTCTGCGATGATGGTGAGCATGATGATAATGGCAGGCTTTATAGTTCTGGATAACGTACACCTTTCCTCTTTCTTCATCATGTTTGTGCCAACACAATAAGTTAGAACGAGGAAGGTATGAATTAGCCAATTCTCTCAGTAATCTGGCTATGGATGCTCCACTTAGCATGACAGTAATTCATTTTCTTTAGAATGATGCTTAATTGCTCACTGAAAATAGGTTGTTGTTGACAGCTCACATGTTTTGTACCAGATAGGCGCTCAATTTGGTCCAAGACAACTTCGATATATTACAGCTTGTACTTCCTTGTTATAGTATATGAAGACAGTTCTCGTCCTTTATTCCTCCACTTTATTTCTTCCTTGGAGTCTGGAGACCAAAATCCGGAGATTTGGGGTAGAATATCACGTCAGTGGAGATTCATTAAAAAATAATTAAATTATCACACACATCCGAGGTTTCGAGTCAATAAGCCCGATTGGGCAAAAAACTAAGTTGATGGGCTTCCAGTCACATTCGAGTACGGGGGAATCGAACCCCGAGCTACCGCGTGGAAAGGCGGTAATGTTAGCCGTTACACCATACTCGACGATGTCAATGCTGTCCCTGTGATAATTCTATGAACTACGCACGGAATGGGAAGCGATCTAGCCTATTGTGGGCATTAATCTAAGGGCGCTCTCTCGCGACTCGCCCTAAGACCTGACTCGAAAGAGCGTATCCAAAGACAAGTACATACTAGATTTACATTTGAAAACGAAATTAACTCGTTTTGAAGGCATAGTAGGCTCATGTTGATCTAAATAAAGCTGGTTCGGATTTCTCAGTCGAGTATGCGTGGAAAATGGTGCCTCGCTACGTCGCTCGTCATTCGGCAAGAAGTGACTCATGCTACCAGTGCGCTCCCACGGTTTTAGTCGCAACTTTCTCTGACTCACTTGTACGCTTGTATTCCTCACTGCCAGCAATCTCGTCGAATACGTCGTTTCAACTGTGGAGGCTGTCTGAATCCCTTATAACCCCAATGTCAGTGTTTGGTGTGGGTTATTCTTTAATGAAACAATTCGGCATCGGTTGACAGATGTCAATAGTCTTTATGTGAGGCTTCTTTCTCCAGATGAAGCCTTCAGCCACTTTGAAGACACAATGGGCGTATTTGTGATGTAAAGCTACTTGTAAGTGTGTGAGACTTGTCCTAAATTACTTCCCCAAAAAGTTATATTCTCAGAAACAGGTCACCTGGCGGCGGCCATTCCTGCTGTAAAAGACCGCCTTCCTGAATTCGATACGTCAAATCATGGTTTGGTCCTTACTCCCTTCCTCCTTCTCGCCCTTCACATTCAACCGTCATCGGCACCGTGTATCTGCGCCAGCGAATATGCTCTCTAGTGCCATCACACCCGTCCTTCCTCCAGAACTCTTGGAGTCGATCCTCGATGAAGTAGGGTATTCGAATGACACGCAGACACTCCGTGCTTGTGCACTAGTTTGTTCAACGTTCGTTCACCGTTCGCAAAGCCACCTTTTTAGGGCAATCGACCTCGATAAGCGAATACCGCGCTGCCAATATTATCTCCGCTTTCACAATCTTCTGGTGTCGAATCCTCATATTGGCACCTATGTGCGGTACTTTCGGCTTGGAGACGATTCAGAAGACGATTACGGGCGAGCGAGAGGTAGACGAGGGATAGGAGGATCTTCTTGGATTGCTCATGCAAAGACGCTTCCACAGACATTAGGCCTTCTTCCTCGCCTGGAGGGGTTCTCGCTCACGTTCAACTCGGAGATGACAGATTGGAACGATATTCCAGCCGAGACTCGCGTGGCTCTCGAGCACGTCTTCAGCCTTCCTAGTCTTCGTGGCGTATCTCTGGAATTCATCACGTTCTTCCCGCCTAAACTCCTTTCGTCCTTTGCCCGGCTCAAGTACCTCGGACTGTCATGCGTCGAGACAGTTTTCACCTATCCTCCCGATCCTCAATACACTAGTTATGACTTACATCTCGAGTCCATCTTTCTACGAGGAACACCACCTTCGACAATAAGTACAATATCTGAATCCCTCATTTTTTTTTGTCATCCCTCGGTCCAAAAGCTCTCTATCACCCCCACCTTTGAGCCCGGGTTCTGTGAGACTATCAACGACCTTATCAAGTCCCCGGTTGCTTCTAGTCTCACTACTTTTGAGTGGCTGCCCTCGGTCCATTTTTGTACGTTTTCGATCCTCGCACTTCCATTTCAAGGCTAACTATTACTATTGCCGTGATTCTCCAGCATCTTCCATCGGCTCAATTGACCTTTCTCCTCTCCACAATCTCCGATTTCTCACGTTTATCGTTAGCTTCCGCCGGACGCAGCACAGCCCTTTCTCTCAAGTTCTTCGTCTACTCGATCAATTGACCTTTAAACCAAACCTAGTGGAACAAATTACGCTAGAATGCTACTTCCTCCGCCTTCCACGTCATGCTAACCCCAAGGACATTGACACTCCTCAGAGGGAGGGAAGATCGCCAAGCACTAATTTGTCACCTATGGAATGGCACGCCGTAGACAAGCTCCTTTCAAAGTCGGCCTATAGGAACCTGAAGGAAGTTAAGATCGAACTGGCGCTCAATTTGCTTGTTGGTGAGGATGAACACGTTCAATCCGTCTTTCAAAGGTTACTCCCTGGACTAAGGAAGAGAGGGGTGCCAGTGTTAGTACGCGTAGAATCGCGCAAGGACGAGCGCTTTTTGTTGGAAGGGTTTGGACAGTAAAGAGCAGGGAATGATTGGGTTTCCTTGGCATTTTTTCTCTATCTGATGAGCGATTGGTAAAGTATAATCTTCCCTCTGGCATCATTCTCTTTCTGAGCTAATCATTACGCCGTTGTTCATTCAGGACTCTTTTACACGTGTCGTCGTGTATCTCTCGTGATTTCAATTATTCTTTATCAACCAGAACCCCTTGATGCATCGCCGTAAGGATCATTCTGACTTCTAGCAGACATCAAGACACAATTGACGCCCACCATTCGTGTCTCGTTTCGTTAAGATTATTTTGGAGCTGTGGTGAATCAACGGTTGACGTGGTCGTGTTTCTCTTATGAAGTATAGCTCAATTTGCCACATAGGTTTTGTCTTGTATAATGGAACCCATCTGATTATGGGCTACCCTAGGTTAGATAATCCGTTTTACAAATTAACACAACATGTAGCTAGCTCCTAGCTCGCATTCCGGCGCTATTTCTTTCAAATTAGGTAACGACAATCGCCGCATTGGCTGCTGGCGCTCCAGCCAAAGCGGCAGAAGGAGGTGTCAATTTGGTGGGTGCCGGAGTATTTCCCCAAGAAGCCGTCTTGTACTGACTCTCAACAATCGCGTTAGACCACTTGGAATCGTCAAAGCCTGGGTTTTGGAATCCAGCAGTGGTGTTGGTACTGTACTTCCAGCTGCTGTCGGTCACGAAGGAGATAATGGATCCGCATTCACAGTCCTCCATCTTCAACTCCACTGCAGCAGCAATGCCAGCCGGACCACCGCCATTGTTTGCACCATAGAGGGCTATGGTAAAGTCTGATGCAGGAGGTTGAATGTCGACAACGTAGCGTTGCGTTGCTTGCCAATTAGTTCCTGAACCAACGACTCTTCCTTGCACGTAGAGAGTATAAGCGTCGTCAACCCGAAGGAGGACTGTGGCGGAGGTGACGCGTCGGCCTTGAGGAAGAGAAATGGACTTTCGGAATGCCCTTGCGCCAACAGGTGCGGCACCGTTTTTCACCTCATTTGTCCAAATCCAGTTGGAATCTGCCAAGGCGAGAGGTGTAGTTGAAGCGGATGGTGGTATGGCGACCGCATTCCAGGGACCAATGCCGTAGTTTCCCTGAACGGTAGCTGCTGGCCAGGATTCATCGTTGAAATCAGAAAATTGGAAGCCAGATGGAACAGATGTGAAGGCGTGCCAGGTTCCATCAGTGATGATGGTGTCCGTGAATCCATCGGTGTACCTGATCTGAATGGTGGCCAACAAACCAGCCGGGTTGGGTATGGTAAGGTCATTGGTGGCGTTGACGGCGAAGACATTGCAATCAGGGGCGAGACGAATGCAATATGCATCTGCCTGGTGGAAATTGTGGCCACTGCCAACAGCGTTTCCGTTCACCCAGAGAGTGTACCCGTTGTCAGATGTGATAATGATATGGCTGAAAGAGCGTTTTGCCTTGGATGAGTAGAAGTCTCGGCGGAATGCTCGGGATCCCGCAGGTGCGTTGCCTGCAGAGTTGACCTCATGGTCCAAATCCACTTCGAATTTGTAAAATCGAGTGCTAGAACCTGAGTTGCACAGAATGCGATAATAAATGGCAGGAAAGCTAGAGATCTTTGCAGTTAGAAGTACTCTGATTTTTAGACCAAGTGAGTACCTTTGATATGCATGTTTTGTATCGAATGTTCTGCTGCTTAGAACAATGGGGGGAGGCTTGAGTGTTATGGCAGCTTTTATATCATTCTTCCCCCTCTCTAACTTAGGTCGAAGCTTTGGACAGCTAGACTGCAGCCTATATGAAGGTAGCGCCTTGGCGCGATTTCTAAGTAGATGCGTATCACTTAAAAGCTATGAAAGAAGCACAAAATACGAAACTGAAATTAGAGGCCACAAGTTGTTTTTGGGTCTAACCTGTCTGTATAGTGCCAAAGATGCTAGAGATGGCAGTAAAAATCCCTCAGAACACGACTATGCTTTGGCATCGTCTTCTCGCATTAAATCCACATTGAACCCGACCATGTCAATGTCAAAACTGGCTTGGTCCACAATTTTCGTTTGATAATTAATTAAGAGATCGAAATTTAATCCAAAACAATGTGAAGACTCGTCTTTGCTTTGAGAGAGTGCCAGACGTTTACATCGGACTGAACCTACATCATATTAGACATTCCACCAAGGAAATTTGCCATTGCGAACTTCAGTCACCGAGACAAATCTTGGTTGGAAGCTTGTTCTTTCCCATCTCTGATAATTGAGCTCGCTGAAAAGAACGTTCGCATCTTCCTGGACCATATCCACGCAAAGGAGCTTTGGACACTGTCTAAACAATTCTTCGACAATTTCGCGGCGACGGTCGTAAGTAATGGGATATCTTGCAAAGGCTGGCTGCGGGGAGAAAACGAGCACTTGAAGCCAAGAAAATTGGTAGACAAAATGTATTTCCTGAGGTATACATTTAAGTGATATGAAGATTTTCATCCAACCAGAAGGAATTCAGAAATACGTACCTCGGCATCATATAGCCCGACCAACTCCAGAGCTTCCAATTTGCTAAAATACCCGCTTAAACACTTCAGGTGAGGTCTCCCAAAGTACCCTCCGAGATGCAACGTTTGGATTTGGTCGAGTTCTTTCTTGACATCTTCAAGCTTGCCGAAATGACTGAAAGGGTCGAAGAGATCTGGGACCCACCGAAGGCGCGTAACATGGCGGCCCGAGAGCAGGGCTTCGATGGTGTGATAGTTTCCAGACAGATAGTCCAGATGAGGGCATGCAGCTAACGGGAAGAGCGTCCCACTACGACTTTGCAGGTATAGCTCCCGCAAGGTGCGTCCTTGTTGAACTAG